ATATATATTTTATTATTTTGTTGTTTCCCTTCAACGTGACTTTACCGAAAGAACTAGAATATACTTCAAATCGCTGTAAACTATTGTTGTCATTGTAGTTGCGTATTTAATGTGGCGCTGCACCACTCTGATGTCGTAGGAGAAAACATTTATTAACAAAGTCTATTTGATTAAGTAGAACGTGACGTCTATATTTATTTAAAGTTGCCCATTTTGATGTGACGTCACATTTCTCAACAACCCCACCCCCCCTCCTCTTTGTCGGAAATGTCTGCCCCGCCCCCAGGTGCGTGACGTCATTAATGGACGGCTCCTCGTGTATCGGTGTTGTGTGTTGTTGTGTAGCGCTGTGTGTCGCTGGGTAGCGCTGTTGTGTAGGGCTGTGTAGCGCTGTGTGTCGCTGTGTGTCGCTGTGTGTCGTTGTGTGTCGCTGTGTAGCGCTGTGTGTCGCTGTGTGTCGCTGTGTGTCGTTGTGTGTCGCTGTGTGTCGTTGTGTGTCGCTGTGTGTCGCTGTGTGTCGCTGTGTAGCGCTGTGTGTCGTTGTGTGTCGCTGTGTAGCGCTGTGTGTCGTTGTGTGTCGCTGTGTGTCGCTGTGTGTCGCTGTGTAGCGCTGTGTGTCGTTGTGTGTCGCTGTGTAGCGCTGTGTGTCGCTGTGTGTCGCTGTGTGTCGTTGTGTGTCGCTGTGTGTCGTTGTGTGTCGCTGTGTGTCGCTGTGTAGCGCTGTGTGTCGCTGTGTGTCGTTGTGTAGCACTGTGTGTCGCTGTGTGTCGTTGTGTGTTGCTGTGTGTCGCTGTGTGTCGCTGTGTGTCGCTGTGAAGCGCTGTGTGTCGTTGTGTGTCGCTGTGTGTCGTTGTGTGTCGCTGTGAAGCGCTGTGTGTCGTTGTGTGTCGCTGTGTGTCGCTGTGTGTCGCTGTGTAGCGCTGTGTGTCGCTGTGTGTCGCTGTGTGTCGCTGTGTAGCGCTGTGTGTCGTTGTGTGTCGCTGTGTAGCGCTGTGTGTTGCTGTGTGTCGTTGTGTAGCGCTGTGTGTCGCTGTGTGTCGCTGTGTAGCGCTGTGTGTTGCTGTGTGTCGTTGTGTAGCGCTGTGTGTCGCTGTGTGTCGCTGTGTAGCGCTGTGTGTTGCTGTGTGTCGCTGTGTAGCGCTGTTGTGTGTTGTTGTGTAGCGCTGTTGTGTGTCGTTGTGTAGCGCTGTTGTGTGTCGCTGTGTAGCGCTGTTGTGTAGCGCTGTGTAGCGCTGTTGTGTGTCGCTGTGTAGCGCTGTTGTGTGTCGCTGTGTAGCGCTGTGTAGCGCTGTTGTGTAGTGCTGTTGTGTGTCGCTGTTGTGTGTCGCTGTGTGTCGCTGTGTAGCGCTGTTGTGTAGCGCTGTGTAGCGCTGTTGTGTGTCGCTGTGTGTCGCTGTGTAGCGCTGTTGTGTAGCGCTGTGTAGCGCTGTTGTGTGTCGCTGTGTGTCGCTGTGTAGCGCTGTTGTGTAGCGCTGTGTAGCGCTGTTGTGTGTCGCTGTGTGTCGCTGTGTAGCGCTGTTGTGTGTCGCTGTGTGTCGCTGTGTAGCGCTGTTGTGTGTCGCTGTGTAGCGCTGTGTAGCGCTGTTGTGTAGTGCTGTGTAGAGTTGTGTGTCGTTACCTTTGGCCTCTGAGCGGCAGTGCGGCAGCCACGCTTCTACGTATTTACGATGTTTGTTGTTTTAGTGAGCGGGGTCGAGGTAATGTTCACGACGCGTCATGCACGTGCATGGACACTCACTTACGCACGCGCGCGTGAGTGAGTCTAAGGGTCACTGTGTGATGGGTCTATGGGTATCTGTGTGATGGGTTTATGGGTCAATGTGTAGTGAGTCTGTGTGTCTCTGTGTGATGGGTCTAAGGGTCACTGTGTGGTGAGTCTGTGGGTCTCTGTGTGATGGGTCTATGGGTATCTGTGTGATGGGTCTATGGGTCTCTGTGTGGTGAGTCTATGGGTCTCTGTGTGATGAGTCTATGGGTCTCTGTGTGATGAGTCTGTGGGTCTATGTGTGATGAGTCTATGGGTCTCTGTGTGATGAGTCTATGGGTCTCTGTGTGATGAGTCAATGGGTCTCTGTGTGATGAGTCTGTGGGTCTATGTGTGATGAGTCTATGGGTCTCTGTGTGATAAGTCTATGGGTCTCTGTGTGATGAGTCTGTGGGTCTCTGTGAGATGAGTCTGTGTGTCTCTGTGTGATGAGTCTGTGGGTCAATGTGTGATGGGTCTATGGGTCTCTGTGTGATGGGTCTATGGGTATCTGTGTGATGAGTCTAAGGGTCACTGTGTGATGGGTCTATGGGTATCTGTGTGATGGGTCTATGGGTCTCTGTGTGGTGAGTCTATGGGTATCTGTGTGGTGAGTCTATGGGTCTCTGTGTGATGAGTCTATGGGTATCTGTGTGATGGGTCTATGGGTATCTGTGTGATGGGTCTATGGGTATCTGTGTGATGGGTTTATGGGTATCTGTGTGATGAGTCTATGGGTCTCTGTGTGGTGAGTCTATGGGTCTCTGTGTGATGAGTCTATGGGTATCTGTGTGATGGCTCTATGGGTATCTGTGTGATGGGTCTATGGGTCTCTGTGTGGTGAGTCTATGGGTATCTGTGTGGTGAGTCTATGGGTCTCTGTGTGATGAGTCTATGGGTATCTGTGTGATGGGTCTATGGGTATCTGTGTGATGGGTCTATGGGTCACTGTGTGATGAGTCTATGGGTATCTGTGTGATGGGTCTATGGGTATCTGTGTGATGGGTCTATGGGTCAATGTGTAGTGAGTCTGTGTGTCTCTGTGTGATGGGTCTAAGGGTCACTGTGTGGTGAGTCTGTGGGTCTCTGTGTGATGGGTCTATGGGTCTCTGTGTGATGGGTCTATGGGTCAATGTGTAGTGAGTCTGTGTGTCTCTGTGTGATGGGTCTAAGGGTCACTGTGTGGTGAGTCTGTGGGTCTCTGTGTGATGGGTCTATGGGTCTCTGTGTGATGGGTCTATGGGTCACTGTGTGATGAGTCTGTGTGTCTCTGTGTGATGGGTCTAAGGGTCACTGTGTGGTGAGTCTGTGGGTCTCTGTGTGATGGGTCTATGGGTCTCTGTGTGATGGGTCTATGGGTCAATGTGTAGTGAGTCTGTGTGTCTCTGTGTGATGGGTCTAAGGGTCACTGTGTGGTGAGTCTATGGGTCTCTGTGTGATGGGTCTATGGGTATCTGTGTGATGGGTTTATGGGTATCTGTGTGATGAGTCTATGGGTCTCTGTGTGGTGAGTCTATGGGTCTCTGTGTGATGAGTCTATGGGTATCTGTGTGATGGGTCTATGGGTATCTGTGTGATGGGTCTATGGGTCTCTGTGTGGTGAGTCTATGGGTATCTGTGTGGTGAGTCTATGGGTCTCTGTGTGATGAGTCTATGGGTATCTGTGTGATGGGTCTATGGGTATCTGTGTGATGGGTCTATGGGTCTCTGTGTGATGAGTCTATGGGTATCTGTGTGATGGGTCTATGGGTATCTGTGTGATGGGTCTATGGGTATCTGTGTGATGGGTCTATGGGTATCTGTGTGATGGGTCTATGGGTCTCTGTGTGATGAGTCTATGGGTATCTGTGTGATGGGTCTATGGGTATCTGTGTGATGGGTCTATGGGTATCTGTGTGATGGGTCTATGGGTATCTGTGTGATGGGTCTATGGGTCAATGTGTAGTGAGTCTGTGTCTCTGTGTGATGGGTCTAAGGGTCACTGTGTGATGGGTTTATGGGTATCTGTGTGATGAGTCTGTGGGTCTCTGTGTGATGAGTCTGTGGGTCTATGTATGGTGAGTCTATGGGTCTCTGTGTGATGGGTCTATGGGTCTCTGTGTGATGAGTCTGTGGGTCTCTGTGTGATGAGTCTATGGGTCTCTGTGTGATGGGTCTATGGGTCTCTGTGTGATGAGTCTGTGGGTCTCTGTGTGATGAGTCTGTGGGTCTCTGTGTGATGAGTCTGTGGGTCTCTGTGTGATGAGTCTGTGGGTCTCTGTGTATCCACCATAGACTGAAGGCCGGCACTGTGGCCACGAGGTGGCTGGGTGGCTGGCACCAGTGTAGTGTATAGTGTAGTGTATAGTGTAGTGTATAGTGTAGTGTATAGCGTAGTGTATAGTGTAGTGTATAGTGTAATGTATAGTGTAGTGTATAGTAGTGCACAGTGTAGTGTATAGTGTAGTGTATAGTAGTGTATAGTGTAGTGTATAGTAATGTATAGTGGAGTGTATAGTGTAGTGTATAGTGTAGTGTATAGTGTAGTGTATAGCGTAGTGTATAGTGCAGTGTATAGTGTAGTGTATAGTGTAGTGTATAGTGTAGTGTATTGTAGTGTATAGTGTAGAGTATAGTGTAGTGTATAGTAGTGTATAGTGTAGTGTATAGTAGTGTATAGTGTAGTGTAGTGTATAGTGTAGCGTATAGTGTAGTGTATAGTAGTGTATAGTGTAGTGTATAGTAGTGTATAGTGTAGTGTATAGTGTAGTGTATAGTGTAGTGTATAGTGTAGTGTATAGTGTAGTGTATAGTAGTGTATAGTGTAGTGTATAGTGTAGTGTATAGTGTAGTGTATAGTGTAGTGTATAGTAGTGTATAGTGTAGTGTATAGTGTAGTGTATAGTAGTGTATAGTGTAGTGTATAGTAGTGTATAGTGTAGTGTATAGTAGTGTATAGTGTAGTGTATAGTGTAGTGTATAGTAGTGTATAGTGTAGTGTATAGTAGTGTATAGTGTAGTGTATAGTGTAGTGTATAGTGTAGTGTATAGTGTAGTGTATAGTAGTGTATAGTGTAGTGTATAGTAGTGTATAATGTAGTGTATAGTGTAGTGTATAGTGTAGTGTATAGTGTAGTGTATAGTGTAGTGTATAGTGTAGTGTGTAGTGTAGTGTATAGTGTAGTGTATAGTAGTGTATAGTGTAGTGTATAGTAGTGTATAATGTAGTGTATAGTAGTGTATAGTAGTGTATAGTGTAGTGTATAGTGTAGTGTATAGTGTAGTGTATAGTGTAGTGTATAGTGTAGTGTATAGTGCTGCTGCGAGTTTGACGACAACGTGACGATGTTTTCATGCTCCTCTCGCTGACGAGATCAGCGGCGAGGACCCCCGCGGTCCACTCCGTGGCTTCGTTTACGACGGCGTTGACAACTCATCCCTCGTGCAGGTCACGTTGGCGCTGCTGTTCGTCACCGCCATAGCAGCGCTGGGCATCACCCTCTCGGAGGACTTCGGGCCCATGTGCGAGCGACAGCCGTGCGACATTTCCGCCCCGATGCTCTACGTGAACCCGTGCCTTTACATGCTCACCTGGGTGAGTTTGGGGGGAGTGGGGGTAGTGGCAAGCACCCGCACCCTACGCCGTGCGGTTACTGTCAGGGGTGCTGCTACTCTCAGGACTCAGCTGGTCACGTGGGCTCGCTCAGAGACCCACAGACTCGCAAAGAGACTCCCTATCACTACCCCTATCACTACCCCTATCACTAACCCTACCACTACCCCTACCGCTATCACTACCCCTATCACTACCCCTATCACTACCCCTATCACTACCCCTATCACTACCCCTATCACCACCCCTACCCTATCACTACCCCTATCACTACCCCTACCCCTATCACTAACCCTACCCCTATCACTACCCCTATCACTACCCCTACCCCTATCACTACCCCTATCACTACCCCTATCACTAACCCTACCCCTATCACTACCCCTATCACTACCCCTATCACTACCCCTACCGCTATCACTACCCCTATCACTACCCCTATCACTACCCCTATCACTACCCCTATCACTACCCCTATCACCACCCCTACCCCTATCACTACCCCTATCACTACCCCTACCCCTATCACTAACCCTACCCCTATCACTACCCCTATCACTACCCCTATCACTACCCCTATCACTAACCCAACCCCTATCACTACCCCTATCACTACCCCTATCACTACCCCTATCACTAACCCTACCCCTATCACAACCCCTATCATTACCCCTATCACTACCCCTATCACTACCCCTATCACTACCCCTATCACTACCCCTATCACTACCCCTATCACTACCCCTATCACCACCCCTACCCCTATCACTACCCCTATCACTACCCCTACCCCTATCACTAACCCTACCCCTATCACTACCCCTATCACTACCCCTACCCCTATCACTACCCCTATCACTACCCCTATCACTAACCCTACCCCTATCACTACCCCTATCACTACCCCTATCACTACCCCTACCCCTATCACTACCCCTATCACTACCCCTATCACTACCCCTATCACTACCCCTATCACTACCCCTATCACCACCCCTACCCCTATCACTACCCCTATCACTACCCCTACCCCTATCACTAACCCTACCCCTATCACTACCCCTATCACTACCCCTATCACTACCCCTATCACTAACCCAACCCCTATCACTACCCCTATCACTACCCCTATCACTACCCCTATCACTAACCCTACCCCTATCACAACCCCTATCATTACCCCTATCACTACCCCTATCACTACCCCTATCACTACCCCTATCACTACCCCTATCACTACCCCTATCACTACCCCTATCACCACCCCTACCCCTATCACTACCCCTATCACTACCCCTACCCCTATCACTAACCCTACCCATATCACTACCCCTATCACTACCCCTACCCCTATCACTACCCCTATCACTACCCCTATCACTAACCCTACCCCTATCACTACCCCTATCACTACCCCTATCACTACCCCTACCCCTATCACTACCCCTATCACTACCCCTATCACTACCCCTATCACTACCCCTATCACTACCCCTATCACCACCCCTACCCCTATCACTACCCCTATCACTACCCCTACCCCTATCACTAACCCTACCCCTATCACTATCCCTATCACTACCCCTATCACTACCCCTATCACTACCCCTATCACTAACCCTACCCCTACCGCTATCACTACCCCTATCACTACCCCTATCACTACCCCTATCACTACCCCTATCACTACCCCTATCACCACCCCTACCCCTATCACTACCCCTACCCCTATCACTAACCCTACCCCTATCACTACCCCTATCACTACCCCTACCCCTATCACTACCCCTATCACTACCCCTATCACTAACCCTACCCCTATCACTACCCCTATCACTACCCCTATCACTACCCCTACCCCTATCACTACCCCTATCACTACCCCTATCACTACCCCTATCACTACCCCTATCACTACCCCTATCACCACCCCTACCCCTATCACTACCCCTATCACTACCCCTATCACTAACCCTACCCCTATCACTACCCCTATCACTACCCCTATCACTACCCCTATCACTAACCCAACCCCTATCACTACCCCTATCACTACCCCTATCACTACCCCTATCACTAACCCTACCCTATCACAACCCCTATCACTACCCCTATCACTACCCCTATCACTACCCCTATCACTACCCCTATCACTACCCCTATCACTACCCCTATCACCACCCCTACCCCTATCACTACCCCTATCACTACCCCTACCCTATCACTAACCCTACCCCTATCACTACCCCTATCACTACCCCTACCCCTATCACTACCCCTATCACTACCCCTATCACTAACCCTACCCCTATCACTACCCCTATCACTACCCCTATCACTACCCCTACCCCTATCACTACCCCTATCACTACCCCTATCACTATCCCTATCACTACCCCTATCACTACCCCTATCACCACCCCTACCCCTATCACTACCCCTATCACTACCCCTACCCCTATCACTAACCCTACCCCTATCACTACCCCTATCACTACCCCTATCACTACCCCTATCACTAACCCAACCCCATCACTACCCCTATCACTACCCCTATCACTACCCCTATCACTAACCCTACCCCTATCACAACCCCTATCATTACCCTATCACTACCCCTATCACTACCCCTATCACTACCCCTATCACTACCCCTATCACTACCCCTATCACTACCCCTATCACCACCCCTACCCCTATCACTACCCCTATCACCACCCCTACCCCTATCACTAACCCTACCCCTATCACTACCCCTATCACTACCCCTACCCCTATCACTACCCCTATCACTACCCCTATCACTAACCCTACCCCTATCACTACCCCTATCACTACCCCTATCACTACCCCTACCCCTATCACTACCCCTATCACTACCCCTATCACTACCCCTACCACTACCCCTAACACTACCCCTATCACCACCCCTACCCCTATCACTACCCCTATCACTACCCCTACCCCTATCACTAACCCTACCCCTATCACTATCCCTATCACTACCCCTATCACTACCCCTATCACTAACCCAACCCCTATCACTACCCCTATCACTACCCCTATCACTACCCCTATCACTAACCCTACCCCTATCACAACCCCTATCATTACCCCTATCACTACCCCTATCACTACCCCTATCACTACCCCAACCCCTATCACTACCCATACCCCTATCACTACCCAAACCCCTATCACTACCCCTATCACTACCCCTACCACTACCTCAATTCCTATCACTACCCCTATCACTACGCCTAATCCAACCGCTATCACTACCCCTAACCATAGCACTACCCCAACCCCTATCACTACCCCAACCCCTGTCACTACTCCTATCAGTACCCCTATCACTACCCCAACCCCTATCACTACCCCAACCCCTATCACTACCCATATCACTACCCCAACCCCTATCACTACCTCAACCCCTATCACTACCAATATCACTACCCTAACCAGTATCACTACCCCAACCCCTATCACTACCTCAACCCCTATCACTACCCCTATCACTACCCTTACCCCTATCACTACCCCTACCCCTATCACTACCCGTATCACTACCCCAACCCCTATCACTTACCCCAACCCCTATCACTACCCCAGCCCCTTTCACTGCCCCTATCACTATCACTACCCCTATCACTACCCCTACCCCTATCACTACCCCTATCACTACCCGTATCACTATCCCAACCTCTATCACTATCCCTTTCACTACCCCAACCCCTATCACTACCCCTATCACTACCTCAACCCCTATCACTACCCCTATCACTATCCCAACCCCTATCACTATTCTTATCACTACCCCTACCCCTATCACTACGCCTACCCCAACCCCTATCACTACCCCTATCACTACCTGAACCCCTATCACTACCCTATCACTATCCCAACCCCTATCACTACCCCTATCACTACGCCTACCCCAACCGCTATCACTACCCCAACACCTATCAATACCCCAACCCCTGTCACTACCCCAACCCCTGTCACTACCCCAACCCCTACCACTACCCCAACCCCTGTTACTACCCCAACCCCTGTCACTACCCCAACCCCTATCATTACCCCTACCCCTATCACTACCCCAACCCCTAGAACTACCCCAACCCCTATCACTACCCCTATCACTACCTCTACCCCAACCCCTATCACTACCCCACCCCTATCACTACCCTTACCCCTATCACTACCCCAACCCCTATCACTACCCATATCACTACCCCAACCAGTATCACTACCCCAACCCCTATCACTACCTCAACCCCTATCACTACCCCTATCACTACCCTTACCCCTATCACTACCCCTATCACTACCTCTATCACTAACCCTACCCCTATCACTACCCCTATCACTACCCCTATCATTACCCCTATCACTAACCCTACCCCTATAACTACCCCTATCACTACCCCTATCACTACCCCTATCACTAACCCTACCCCTATCACTACCCCTATCACTACCGCTATCACTACCCCTATCACTACCCCTATCACTACCCCTATCAGCACCCCTACCCCTATCACTACCCCTATCACTACCCCTACCCCTATCACTAACCCTACCCCTATCACTACCCCTATCACTACCCCTATCACTACCCCTATCACTAACCCTACCCCTATCACTACCCCTATCACTACCCCTATCACTAACCCTATCACTACCCCTATCATTACCCCTATCACTACCCCTATCACTACCCCTATCACTACCCCAACCCCTATCACTACCCATACCCCTATCACTACCCCAACCCCTATCACTACCCCTACCACTACCTCAACCCCTATCACTACCCCTATCACTACGCCTACCCAACCGCTATCACTACCCCTACCCATAGCACTACCCCAACCCCTATCACTACCCCAACCCCTATCACTACTCCAACCCCTATCACTACCCCTATCACTACCCCTATCACTACCCCAACCCCTATCACTACCCCAACCCCTATCACT